TTGCATACAATGACATTGCAAACAGAAAAAGACCAATTACTCATCTCCTCAAATAGGGTGCATCTGTGGAATTAGTAGGAAGTTTTCTGAACCTTAGAATTTGCATATTAATCAGGGATTGCATTTACTTGGTTAACTGCATGACATGTTCATTTTATCATTTTAAAGACATTTTAAAATCTGTAATTACTCAGAGGAGAGTGCAGTGCTTTAGGATCAACTCTGACATCTAAGAAAACCATGTGGCTTTTACCCAGGAAACTGGATTAGACAGGATATCTCAGAGTTAAGAGAGAAGAGAAAAACAATAATGCCAAACCCAGAAACAATTATTTCCTCTTAAAATAGAATCTCAGTAACCTGGAGTTACTTCAGTCTTAAATACTGTATTTATTGAGGAATTTTGTAAGTTACCATCACATTCAGAAATGTTTGGTTTCTTGAGATTGGTGTCCAGCATCTCTGTTTGTGCTTTATAATAAAATCAAGGACCTGGTTTATGGACTATTGATGCTAGATAAGTGAAATCATTAAAATAATTTGACATTTTTCTGTTTATTTTAAAGAGCAAGTATGGATTAAAAAAAAATGCTCCTGCAGATAATGGATGGACGTTCACCTCTAGATCACAACTTTGGGACAAAAGTAACTGAAAATGGCTGTTAGCAGTTTGGTGGATGAGCTGAACTGAGTTGGTCTTGGTCCAGTTAGAATATAATTTTTTTAACAAGTACACACAACTGGCACTAGTTCACACCCTTACTGACAATCTCGTACAGTGGCCAGTATTTTAATGAGTACAGAAATTGAACTGTTCTCTCACCCTTAGTGGAGGTCCTGTTTAAATTAGATGGAAACATACGCTGGGTCACCAGGCACAGGAAAGGCTGCCTTGGTGCTGCAGCTCTTCTGTGCAAACACAGAGAACTTCATTCCACAGAATTCTCCTTCCAGCACATCTCACAGATTCTTCACTGGGTTAAATTCTCCATTGCTCTAACAAACCCCATTGACATGAAAGGATCTGTGACTGCTTCAAGTCAGCACTGATGCTGGTTCTAGATGCTGAATAAAAAATTTCTCTTGTCACCCCAGACTCTGCAGCTGACAAAAGGCTTTGCGGATGCCAAACTATACAAACTCTAGTGGATTAAGCATATGCTCACGAGACTAAAACATGTTCAGCAGTCTATTCAAAGTGTTTAAGGAGAAGGCACACTATAACATTCATTCATCACAAATGGGTCAGTTCCATCATGCACAGAAACTCTTTCAGAATGAGGAAGAGGAACAGTGCACAGTCAGGTGAACAGAGTCTTTTGCTGGATAGCTGCTCTTAGCATGTGTATGAGACAAAGTTGTATTATCACAGAGCCCTTCTCTGATTCCCCAGTAGAATCTGGTTCATTACATTTTCATACTGGATTACCATATCATTATGAAACTGTTTCTGCTGCACTCTCTCCCTGTCTGATTTATAAAGCTTTGTAAAGTAAGCAGAACAAATTAAACTGTCAATATCTGTTCATAAGCAAGATTATCATGGTCTCGTTGCAGTGACGGAACCTAAATTTCAGTTATTACAACTCTACCTGTCTCTTCTTGGCATACAACACATGCCCAGCATGTGAACAAAACTCTCGGAGAGGATGATGCAAATACATGAAAACTTCTCTCTTTGAAATAATAACCCACATTGGAACTTGCAAATAATTGTTTTAATCAAGTATTTTCTAACCTAGTAAAAACAAGGACATTCCTGTCCTGCCAAAATATAGCTAATTGTATTTAATTGGTACATTTCAGTTTAGAATATTTTCCATGTATTCAATTATCCCTTGTTATATTTTAAATAAATACAAAACCTCTTGAGACTTTAAGGGAGCCAATCCTGAACTCCCCTGAAGGGTGCTAAAACTCTCAATTCCCAGTGATTTCAATCAGTGATTTAACTGAGGATGTTTGTCATCTTGTATGATGGGAACCTTCAATTCTGAAGTCTAGATCTTTTGTAGTTGGTTTTCTTAATAGCCCTCCTGGAATTAAGCTAATGAGTCCCATGTGACTAAGATATGATAACTACCTGGCTGACAGCCAACCAGATTTCAACCATTATTCTATTTTGCTTTATGAAGTCTGGGCTCTTAACGCACTATCTGGGTACATCCAGCAGGGAGATGGTTCTTTAAACTCAGGATCTCTCAAAATACATGTTTGTACTACTCCTGTCTCTGTATCCAGTGTGAACATGTAAATACACTTTTGTTTGCAGTCAAAGAGGATCCCCAGTGTGCTAATTCTTTCAGGGATCTTGCCACTGTTGAAATATAAATAGCAAACCTCATTATTTGTAATCTCTATCACTCAGCAGAGAAGAGAATGGGAAAACTGAAAACAATAAGAAAACCAGATCAGCAAATGATCTGAATGCAAAAGAGAGGATACTGTGTGAGGGAGTTTGTCTGGACAGTATGTTTGGAGGGGACACAATTTGCTGGGAATGGAAATATTTGAGGCTTAGCTTTCAGGTTTGGTTAAAGTAAACTCTACAGCCTTGGGCACAATAAATAGGGCAAGGCTATCTACTGGGAGCTAGTTCATTTACATGGGCCCTGAGAAGTTAACAGACGGAAACAGATTCTGCAGGCGGACTGATGTTCTGCTGAATAGATTGGCTGGTCAGAGCGCTGAGATCAGCAGCCTTTCACAGCTTCTGCAGCAAGTGTATAGTTGGAAAGCAGCCTGACTTTTCTGCTGAGTAGCGCCCAACAACGTAATGAGATCAAAGCAACTAGGAGGGAGGTCAAAGAAAATCAGTTGCTGAAGAAAGGGGGTTACATTAAGCCTCCCCTTATTAAATGAAGGCAATGTCTGGAAAGGATCTTTATGATTCATAGCTCCATTACCCCTACCCAAAAGCACTGCTCTGTAGCACAATCATGACAACTGACATTAAAAAAGAATGGGCAGGGGGAAAAAAGGGCATTAAATGTTATTGTGAAGTAATCAAGCATCTAAAACATAAAGAGCAAAACTTAGTTAAACTACAATGCAAGTTTTCTTCTTTCTAGCCAAATACAGCTATTGTATTATTTATAGCTGTGTTATCTTATTAGCTTGTACTCTTTAATGTAACTTTGTTTTGGAGTAGTAAATGAACTATGCACACCCCATAATTTCACTGCAATTATCAGAAATTGGGAAGAACAGTGACAAAAGATAACATGCCATTTGGTACAGTTTTTATGTATTAAAATGCATAAACTTATGTAAATGCAGTAATTTATATAAAAGGACATTTAATACAGAATGCAAGCTACAGCGGAGGCATTTTGAGGCTGCATATACATAAAACTCTTTTTCGTAAAGAGATAATGAAGTATCTATGCTACTAACACATATATGTACTCTTTAAGTATATTAATAAAAGTAGTTAATGAGATAAATAACGATGCACTCTGATTGTATGTTAAAATGGTGATTGTTCTTCTCAGAAAGATGAATAACCCACTAAAAGCTGTGGAAATAACTCTCTCCTAGGTAGATTTTACAGGAGAACTCCCAACTAAAAGTTGGGTTTCTGCAGATTTAGTGGGAAGAGAGCCTCTGTGTGATTCTTCACATCAGCCAAAGAGTTCTTTGTTCCCTACTACCATCATCTACTGCAGACCTTGAGGCCAAACCCTCCATTGTGTCTCTGAGTACAACTGACCCAAAATAATGATGTTTGAATGGACGAACTGAGCATGTGCCAGAAAAAACATGGACGGGAGACCTCCGAGCAACTGATGACAATTGCTCTTAAAATAAAGATTTATTTCTTGCTTTTGTTTGCATACACAGGGCTGAGAAGCATGTAACGGACCTTGCATAAGAGATGCCTTAAGGGAGGCTTGTTAGCCCCATCTACACTAGGACTGAAAATATGTAAAGCAAGAATGGAGAAATCAAGAGACCATAGGGAACTGTCTTCTATTCTCAAGGGGATGGACTAGATGATCTAATAGATCTTTTCCACCACTGATTTCAGGTTGTTTGTTTGTTTTTTTGAGGGGGAGGGTGTTTTGGTTTGTTCGGGTTTTTTGTGGATAAAGCAGAAAACACTAAGGGGTTATTTTGACTGATATAATCAGTACAAGAAACCTGAACGCTACTTAAGTAAGATCTTCAAGTCTTTCTGTTCTATTCCTTCTTTCTTCATTCTTTCCTCACACCCCCTCTAGTGTCATCATATGAACACTGCCGCTACTATTTCTTGATCTATTCAGCTCACATTAAAAGAACTCATCCTCCTTTTTAAGTTTCTGATTTTTCAACCTATAAAACCCAAAGGCAGATGTCTTAAATTTAAAAATAATGGAGGTAAGTAGTAACTGATTCTAAAATTACCTGGATATTTAGATCTGAAATCTACTCCCCTCTGATATGTTGAATTTTACTTCATCTTCAAAATTTCTCAGAAATAACAAGAGAAAATGTTGGTAGATCATCATTAAATAACTTTTATCAAAAAATCTTACTGTTAATCCTTGACAACTCTAGCTTTGCTTTCAGTGGTGTAGAATTGTTCCCCTTCCCCCGCTTTTTGGTTTCCAGTTATGTTCATTTATGATCACAGGTTTCAAAATGTCAAAAATGTCCTTTATGGTAACAGACTTAATTGATCTCCTGTTGCCTCATTTTCCCTTAGGGCATCATAATTTGTAACCAGCTCCTAGGAAGTCAAACTCTGCCATTTCTTAAGGTCTGGTTATTTAAACAACATCACAGATCAAACATCAGGTTAAATCAAACCAACTTTTTCTGTACACCACAGCTGCTTTGGCTCCTTGCAAGCCTCAGCAGCTCTTTCCCGAAGACCCAGGTCCTGTTGGCTGGTGTTTCCTCAAGCCTTCCTCCAAAAGCATTTTCTCTTGTCCCTCATTGCCTTCTCATTTGACTGGTGCAGAAGGTCCCAACCATACCAAGAAACTTAGCAGGAAGAGTTACCATCAGAGGTACTTGATCAGTGGTTTCCAACGTGCCCCTAGGATACAGCAGTCTGCCAAGGGTGAGGGTCAGAGTAGCCGATGAAATCATTCCTTTGGACCTTCAGCCTAGCTGGTCACATAGTGCTAGAGCCTCTTTTTTGTTTGCAGCTGTACACCATGCTGAAGTACAAAAACTTTCCTAGTGTTTTTGCTCGATGTCACTGTCATCTCCACAAGTATGCTGTTCAATCACAATTGTAAAGGAGGGTGTCATGTTCTGTGAGATCATGGATGGCAGAACAAATATCCAAAAAACAATCTTTAAAGCAGAGATTCATATTTGTTCTGCTTTAAAGGGTTTTTTTAATTAATATTTTAAATTTCTTTATTTACTCACTGAGGAACAAGCCTTCAAAAAATATCTAAATGAAGAGTAGCGGGAGTGGGACACCTTGGAAGTGATGCTATGGGAGAATAGGCAAATTCAGAGTGATACAAGCAATCAAAGGAATTGTTGCAGGTAGCACCACTGCTTAGAGTAAAATGCCAAGGCAGAACAGCTGGGCTCTGAGAGGCTGTTCCTAGGCTTGACAGGATGGCATATTTAAACTTGATACCTCCAGAGAACTTTCAAGTGTGAAGCAGCATGATTTGATTAGTAGACAAGAAGATAATCATTGGATAAATTGAGTGGTACTGATCTGGGTCTTAGGGACACCTGAGAGAAGGCTATTTTAGTAGATAACTATAGGCTATACACAATGGGAAAGAAAGAAAGGATCAGATTATCTAAATATGTAGAAAGAAAAAACAAGATTTGGTAAGAAAGGAGATGTGGGGGGAATATACAGGGCATGTATTTTTTAAATATGGATAAATGTTCCAGAGTGACAGAAACTGGAGATGGAGCCTACTGAGTATTATTACTGAATAGCTATTAATTAAAGTGGCCTCTATCCTTTTTTGAGGTCATATAGAGAACAGAATCCATATCAGTCTTCTTTTTAGCATCACGCTAGTTTATGCTTAGTTAAGCTATGCAAGATTTGCACACTTTAGCAAAATACCCTTTTGATTACATTGTTTGCAATTTGCATTCTGAAGGGTGTGTGGGGGGGCAACAACACATTGAAACAGTTTTGTAGTGTGGCCTGCATTTCTGTTTATCTACAGTTATGGGCTGTTGTTCTGAAGATCATTTCTATTTACTGTTTGCACATTAGTACTAGATTGTTTCAGAAGTGATGATTTGCTAACTTTAAGGGCTGCTTCAGTTCTTTTAACTCACTCAGCAAGTGAGTCTCATCAAGGGTTGACTCATCCTCCAGTTGCAGGTGTTGTAATTATTTCTCCAATTCATTCTGGTGAATGCAAGTTCAATGGTTAATAAAGTACTCGCCATCCATTACTGGTCAAGGACGTGACTCCAAACTTTACATGTACAATAGAGAGATGGTGGGTGGATTGTTGTGTTATCCCTTCCAGTCCTGTCAGTCCAGGGAAGTAGCACAGCTAGAGTAGGATGGATAAAGGAGCATGAATGAGGGTTTACATTTAATCTAGTTAAGACTGAGATAATGATTACAACATGGAGAAAGGGAGCAACTAGCAGGATTGGAAATTATCTCAATATTTCTGACTAGTGGCATGTGACTGTCATCAATTTCATCAGGAAGGGGTCTTGATGGATCCCCAGCAGCTCCTAGCACTTGGGTAACAATGATTTCCAATTACACTTGATATCATTTGTGGAAAGAAAGCAGGAGGTTTTTGTTTTGGAGGCCAGAGTAATCACAATGGTTCAAGCCTTTGTTACTTCAGGGCATACTCACTGTACAGGGGTTACATCTTGATGTCTTGATAGTGCCAAGAGCACTTATAAAAGTCTTAACAGAAGTCTCCACCCACCTACATAAACAAGGCATAAGAGGAAATATATTAATAAAAAACATAAATAAAAGGATTTCATGTTCCAGGTCAAATCAGTTGCAAATCATATTGACTGAGCAGAACTCAATCGTTCCAAAAAACATATTGACTGAGCAGGCAGAACTCAATCATTGTAAACACCATGTAGGGTGCTACAACTAGCAAACATCCTGTCTCACTCTCACCCTGGGACTTCATATACTCCCATCTTAGCCCACAAGAGGCGGAGACACTTGATTGCAGCCAAAAGGCCAGAACCTTATTTCTCTCCCTCTTGGGGCGAGGCAACTGGGGATGATACTCGCAGGCACAATTTTCTCTCTCTCCCTCCCTGCTGGAGGAATTGGCAGGTAAGGGAGTGAAGAGAGGGAGGAGCAAATACCACTCTCACAAGAGGGAGGGAGCAAGCATCCAGCTACCTAGGATGGCTCTGCATTCTTCTGCATCTCCTTGTTTAAAAAAAAATAAATCATGGACTGGCTCAGTAGCGTAGCAGTGCAGCAGAGCATCCAGGGTATGGGGCAGCAGCAATTTCTGATCATTGCTGCATAAACCAGCAACTTTTTGTTTTGCTCCCCCCCAAGTTATGTCACTGGCCTGGCTGCTCCCTACTTCTTTGTCCTGGTCTACAAGTGAAGAATTTTGGGAGCTGCAGGGGGAAAGAGAGGCATCCTGAGGGGTATGCCTAACTTATGAATGGGCTGCAGAATAGTCAGCTGCAGGACAACAGTTGATTAGGCCTTTGGGATTCAGGAGCCCCCCTTTGTAAAATCCTGCATCTGCTTCTGGAAGTAGCCAGCTACACTTGGGACTCCCAAACAGGTAGGGTGTTAAGGACCAAACACCTTTCATCTCCTGAGCTGCTCCAGAGACCAAGAGCTACTAAGGTAGCTCCCCCTACATGGAGAGGGACTGCAACTGAGTGAGCACCCATAGAGAGCTGAATTCCTAGCAAAGCAGAATTTAACAAAACAAAAGGAAATATTTCATGTAGGAAATGAGAGGAAGTCTACTGACACAGGTGAGACAACTGCCTTTGCAGGTGTTGCTGCAGCTAATAAGCATTTATGTTTCTCTCTCCCCTGGGAAGTGGGCAGCTGGTTAATGATAAAGGTGCTCTCCTGTAGTCTGTCTTTTGCTGATGCTGTCTACAACCTTTTTCCGCTGTGAGCCAGTTTGTGACAGCCCCTTGCTGCAAATCCCTGCCCCCAGCCATGAGTGACCGGTGCCTCCTGAATATGGGGGGCACTCGCAAAAGCCACCGGCCCAGTCAGGTGGGGTGCCAGCTCTATTGACAGCATCAGTGTTGGCCATCAGGGGTGGCACTGGCCCCATCAGGGGGCATGTGCACCCCCTATCAGTCACCTATGCCCCCAGTTCCTCTCCCCACCACAAGCGGTTTGTACTTGCCCTCACTGCAGATACCCTCTTCAGCAAGGGTGACAGCAGCAGGGAGGGCTGCAGAGAGGGATACTGCAGAGGTGACAGGTAGTTTGGAGCAGCGGTGTTCTGCCACGATCCCTTGTCATCCTAGGCCAGGTTAGACTTTTGCAAACTGAATCCAACTACTTTGCAGGCTATAAGTTGTCCACCCCTGATCTAGGTTGATCCAGTTGCACACTTACATATGAAAATATGTTTTCATATTTTGGCTGACTCCAAAGGCCTCCCACTGCTGACAAGTTAGAGTTGCCTATTACTCCCTCCTCATATGGAGCATACAGCCTTGGTATGGGGGTCTGTCTTTCACTTTGATAACTACAGGTCAGTCACATCATACGTGCATTTAACTTGCGCGAATTCAACTATACGCGGGGTGGGAGGGGGAGCAGGGCTTGAGCTTGCACGCAGCACTGCTGCTTACCTGAAGGCCCATTACGGCGGTGACGGCCACTGCCTCCAAAACCTCCCGCTGTCGCCATGGAGCCGTGCCCGGAGCTGTGTGGCTGGCTGCTGGGCGGTAGCGGCAGTGTGGTGGTAGCCGGGCAGCACACAGCCATCCCCACCACCACCCCGCACTGTGCTACTGCTGCCAGCCACACAGCTTTAAACGGCGCCGCGTGCAAACTCAAGCCCTGCCCCGCCAACGTATAGTCACCAATTTTTGCCTTATGCGATTTTTTGCTTTACGCGCTGACTTCAGCACCTAACCCCCGTGTAAGATGCGACTGACCTGTACCACATTTTGCTGATTGAACTTCTATTCTAGTGTCAGCAAATCAAATAAAAAATCCTCTGTTTAACTTTTTCCCCAGACAGTTTCACTGTCGGATGCTCTCTCCTATCACAGTACCATGAAGATCAGTAGCAAAATGTTTAGTAAAAGTATCTTTCTCCCCTTGTTACTTACCATTTCTCCTCTCTCCTAAAACACACACTCTTTTGCACACAGATGTTGATTGTTTATCAAGCAGGCACATAAAAAATCAGATCAGTTTCTGCAGGTGTGGTGAAATACAATATTTAGGGTCATGGCAAATGTAGGATCAAACCAAACTTAAGCTCTTCTCAATAACACACAAGGTTATGGGCAACCTACCAGTACAGAAACTGCAGGATATTCACTGAAGTTCCTAGAAGTAAATACAAAGCTTTGGACTGTATTTATCGTTACAAGAGTGTTTGAATTTAACACCAATATGCTGTTCCTCCCCTCACAATATGCCCCCACAATCTGTGCACAGGATGGAGGCAGCTGCCACTGTGCGCTGGACTTTGAGCCCCGCTACCCCGAGAGCCGTGCAATGCCATGTGCATCTCACCGCTGGGCGGGCAGGGGGTGCGGTGCAGCCCAGCGGCAGCAGGCTTGTGGTGTCGACTCTTCCTGGGGCAGTGGTGTGTGGTGATGAAATACAATAAATATTTCTGGATTTTCATCAGTAATATCCATTAGAATCAGACATAAGAAACTATTTTTCTAGCAGTAAAGGAAATTTAGATGGAAATTCAAGAGAATTATGTTTCTGCCTCTGGTTTGACTCTCCCAGTCAACAGATGTTTGAAGTGTTGCTGAGGTAACATATTCCTTTTGGGCATGGTAAGGACAGAGTGTGTCTTGTAGAAATCAGCAATGACTTGCTGACCAAATTAAGGATGAGACACTGACTTGCTCCACTGGCAATGCTGTCTGGTTCTGCTTTGCTGAATATTAAAGGAGACAGTGGGGTAATAATTACCCTTTTCAGGAAACCATGGGATGAAACCACTTCCTCTGCTTTAGGATGTCCTACCTTGCTGTTGTGTTCTAGTGCAGATGAATATATAGACTCAGGGTAATGCTGGCAGTACGTAGTGCTAAGCTTAGTCAGCTGGGCTTGAATAACTTCTTTTGTCAGCATGTGTCTGAGGTGTCATTCAGTCTTCTGGGCCCAGATGATACCCCTGCGATGCGGATACCCTTGTTTTTTCCTGACTCTATAAATACAGAAAAGTCAACTCGGCAATAGAGGTATTATACAGCAGGATTTCAGGTTCACAAGAATTTTGGTTTTGGAAGTTTAATTTCAGTTTTAATTTGATTAAAACCAAACATTTTCATGAGTTCTCATCAACTGGAAATTCCAGGAGAATGTCAATTTTGAAACACTGACACAGTGTTTCTCCAGTGAAAACAAACACTCTCGGACTCTGCAGCTGCTTTATTGTCACTTTTCCAGCTAATACCAGCTCTAAAACTGATAGTCTTGTTTATTTTACCAAGCAGCTGCCTGGTGTCCCAAGGTCTCTGGTTCTTGGCTACATGGCAGAAAGCCTGGAAGTCCTGGTGTGGCTAGCTCCCTTGGAACCAAAAACTGTGCAATCCCAGGTGCCCTAGGCTTGGAGCAGTCCTCCTGTCCCACAGCTAGTGACCCCAACGTCCCAGGGTCCATTTAAGATCTAGGTGGGATTCTGTGGGAACACTGCCCTGCAGTCAATGAAAGTTTGTCAGAATGAAGATGTTTTAGTGGGTTTAGTAAGTCAGCATTTTCCAACCAGCCTCACTTAGTAACTGGCAGTTCAATTCACTGCAAACATGAGAAAGCAAAGTGTCACTGAAAGCATCCAGAGCATTGCAAGTGACTGACCTTGGCTCACTGCATCCTTGGTCAGGGGAAGTGAAAGACAGCTGGGGTCACTCCTTTTGATTACTGTATTTGGGAAGGGGATAGAGGTATGGAGCAAGTTGATGTCAAGACCTGATCCCAAACCTCCCATCCTGGGGCTCAGGGATTAAGAACTAGTTCAGCCCTTCAACAGGCCACAGCTTGTGAAGGAAGGCAGAATGGCAGGGAGAGGAGCCCTGCCAGGGAAAGGCCTTCTAGTGTTGACCCCTGATTGGATCCTCCTGCCTATATAAGGGTAGCTGTTTCTGAGGAAACTGTTTGGAAAGCAAGGTTTCTGCTGTCCTTGGACCACCCTATTGTTTCCTTGCATCTGTGCCCTGCTTATAGAGATGCGATCACCTGTTGCTGACCCTTCTTGGGCCTCTGCCTTGTGTCTTGGATTGCTGGAATTTGGCCCTCATAGCATCTGGCTTGCTCCCTGACCTTGCTATGCCTAGTGTTTTGGCCCTAGCTTGGATGCTGATCCTCTGGTTTTGACCCTGGCTACCCCTTGGACCTTCAGCTAATGGTGTGTGTAAATCATTAGTCAGATGAGATGGCCTGTGCCTTGGTGCATGACAGTTGAATCTATGGAGGCTGCTCTTTAGAAGATACCAGAAATTCCCAGTGTGAGTTGGATGCCATTAGTGTGACTAGCAGAGGAAGTCCTCTTGGAGTAATCTGTCTTTCTCTTCCTTTAAGTTGGAAGTTTTGTAGCCTATTTTGTAATCAGTGGATGAACATAAGTAATTGGCAATTAGAAAGGAACTCCCAGGTCACTGAGTCTAGTCCTCTGGTACTGCAGGGCCTGCAGTGCAGGCATCCATGTCCTAAGCTTGCATTCATAAATTGACCTTGCTACATTTTAAAACCAGATAGGTTTTTGCCTCCACTAGCCCTTAAAAACCTGTACCAAAATGTTACTGCCCTAATGATAAGAAACTTTCTCTTAATTTTCAGCTCAAATTATTCACAGTCCCTTTATAGATTATTTGTTCCTATGACTATATGGTCTTTTAGTTTCCATAGCTCTCCCCCTCCCATAGGCAGAGGGAGAAAAAATAATTTGAGGGGGCTGAGTGCATGTGCGCACATGCACGGGTACACACCTCCCCCCAGCAGGTAAGTCTGTGGGGGAAGTGGCAGGAGGAAGGGAAAGGGCCATGGGGGAAGGGGTGCAGATTGAGGCCGCA